CCATGCCCATCTGCCTTCCTTTGCCCATTTTTAATTGGTTGGTTGCATTTTTATTAGTGACTTGAAGACAACTTTTCAAAGGAGGAGGGAGCAGGGTTGGTAGGTGAAGACGAGCGGCCCTGAGTGCAGGTCACACAGGCATGCTCCTTTGTGTGCACTCCCAGGTGCTGAGTTCAAACAAAAGCTCACACATGTGCAAATACATGGACATGTGATGCACACACACCACATGCAGTTGCTCAAGCATGTGCGTACCACAAAGAACCTGTGTGTGTAACATATGTGGGTACAGAGCTTAGGCTAGTCTCTCTGGGGGAGCATGTATGACCACCAGGAAACAGAAAGGCCCCCCAGGACCAGTCACCCAAGGAGCTGATTTTAGGATCTGGGCTTTTAGAAGACTCTACGCCCTAGGTAACTCCCCACCTTTGACCTCTGACCTCAGTGACTGGTCTGTGAGCTCTGCCATATCCTGAGTATGATATTGGGCAGTATGCTGTCCTTTTCTGGACCTCACTTGGTTTCCTTGTTTAAGATGTGTTACTGGAAAGTCCTCAAGGCCCTCCCCAGAACTGATTTGCTGATCCCTGACTCCTCTTTTGAGAGGGAGCCAAGGACTTTTGTAGCCCAACCTCCCCGGTGTAGCACATGGGGTCATTGTGAGCCCAAGTCTGGCTTTTATAGCATTCTAAAAATAGTGTGTGGCCCATGGAGATGCCAGGAAGTGGCAGGTAGCTTGACTGATAGGTCTGGGGGTAGTCTTGGCCCCAGCTCTGCCCCAAGGCAGGAGGCCCTGTCCTGCCTCTACTCTGGGCATCAGGGCCCATCGTCTCTGCCTAGTGGTGTTCTCTGGGGGTCAGTGTGATAGGCCAGCAGGCGGGGAGACTCAGCTCGAGTCTGACACTGTAGGTAGGTGGCAGGCAGGGCTGAATCCATTGTCCTATGAGCCCAGCTTGTGCCAGCTGGGTGGAGGTACCATGTGCCCAGTGAGGGCTAGAGTGTGAATAACCTAAGGAGAGCACCATACTGGGCAATCCCCCTGTGGCTGGGCCAGCCTCTGATCTGTCGCTGTGTTTCTCCCACACGGTAGTGGGCTCAGAATCTGCTGCCTTGGTAAGCCTGGGTTAACTTAGGATGAAGACAGTGGACACTGCCGGGCAGCGCTGGAAGTACCAGCCTGGAGGACGGTGTTCCCAGCCAGCCTCACGGAACCCTGGGCAGTACCTGGTCACCCTCTGGTTCCTTTTGCTGGCCTCCACCTCTTCTCCCTCGTAGTGATGGTTTTGTTTGTCTCTGGTTTCGTTTGCACCCAGAGCTGGCTCCAGGCAGAGGGCAACATTCTCGTCCCGCAAGGCTAGTAAGGACTTGGGCTTCTAGAGGAGTTGTGGTTTGCCTTCCCACCCCACCCCTCAGTGCTCCTCCACCTTCCCTGCTCCAAGTCTCCCTCCATGCTCCCCTCTGCTTCCCTCTTTAATTGGCCAGGGCCCCTTAGCTAATAGTACTTGCTTTGATGTAGCCAAACACCACGGACGGGGGGCTTGGTATCACCCTGGTCCCCTGAGGACCATAAGACTCAGAATCCATCCAGGGACCCTGGAGGACCAGACATAAGGGCTGGACGCTGTAAACCCTACACATCCATCTCTGGTGTCTTCCAGGGATACTGGGAGCTCCAGTGCTTAGGTGTGCAGACCCGTGTAGGAATTGTTTCAGGTCCCAAAGGGCTCCTAGGTCTCTGGGCCAAGTGTCCTCTCAGGACGGTTGTGAGTGCTGTCACCGTTCACTTCATCCTTCTTCCTGCCATAACAGTCCCCCCGAAACAGCCTGAGCCCACGCGGCAGCCACTGTCTAGAGCAAATAGATTGCCACTAGGAGACTCAGCTTTCCGATCTGAGAAATGTGCACAATGAAAATGTCCCATTCTAGGGGTTGTTGGAAAGATAAGATAAAATGAAGTGGCCAGGCCCACCCATGTCCAAGAACTCGGGAAAGGGCCTTGGTTGGGGGATGCGTGAGAAAACTGACCTCCTTGTTGCCCAGAGGAAGCTATCTCTGCCTCCAGGATACACTCTGGAACAGGGAGAGTCCCGGCTGCATCCAGAGCCTGTTACATGGAGACACTGAGTGTCACTAAAGGCAGGGTTGCCACCGCCTGCCAGGCAAGAGGCAGGGAGCTGGGAGATCCTTTCTCCACAAATAAATAGATTCTCTGCACTGAGGTGACTACAGTTATCCCCAGATGGGCCACTATTCACCCTGGCCATGTTGGGCTGCAGATTATGGTGGGAGAGGGTACGCTATCAGGCCTTGGATGCTTTGGGGACAAGGACAGGAATTCATCTCAGAAATCTTGGGAGCCATTGATGGCTGTTGAACTAGGTCCTTAAGCCCAGGCTGTCTACATCTGGAAAGGTCAGGTTCTTCTGAGTCAGTTCTTCTCTCCTGGAGGAAGCAGGCTAGGGCCCTGAGCAGTCCCAGCCAAGGCCCCAGGAGGCATGGGGAAGCCGGGAGTCAGCACTCCCTCCCTACTCAACACTTGGGCATGCCACAGCCTGGGGCGAGTTACCAAACCCGCTGAGCCAGGCGCGTTCAAGCCTTGGAAGCGAACACATTACAGCATGCGAGTTGCGGGGACCCTCAGCCCATGGCAGCCCCTCTTGCTTGACCTCACGTGGGTTGTTCTTCTCTACAAACTACCACTGGCCTCTTGTCGTCCGTCCCCCCCCCCCGTCTCCATGGCAACAGACGGAGGGCTTGGCTCATTAAAACCAAATAAAAACGGCCCTAGCAGGAGAGGCAGCCTGAGGAGTAACTGCTGAGTTAACTGAGTCAGAGCAAGTGTGGGCATAAGCAGGTGAGAGCTGAGGCCTGAAGCAGGACTCAGGCAGGACGCCTTGGGTCGCCCCGAAACACACCTGCCAGCCAGGGCACCTGCCTGCTTGCCTGGGGCTTCAAGATAGGCTTCCAGGATGGACCGGAAGAGGCTGAACGTCTCCAGTGGCTGCTTTGGCCTGGGTGGTGGTGATGGGGCGGCGGTGGAGGTAGCAGTGGTGGTGGTGGTGGATGATGACACCCACTGCTGTCTGCCCCTAGAGCAAAATAGTTTGAATTTTCTAGACCCCCCCTACATCGGATACTTGCAACATGGGCACACTGGAAAGTCAGCTCGGCCTCCACAGAGCCCCCATCCTGAGTTCAGTGGCTGTCTAGTTCCCTTCCACCCCAGGACCCACCCTGGACTGGCCACCTCCATCAACCCTCAACAGTTGGTCAGATGAAGTTGCCAGACCTGATCAGAGGGGAAAAGGGAACGTGCCAGCTTCCCTTAGGGACTTGGTGACCCAAGTTAGACTCAGAAACATAGGTTCCTGTACCTTTCCAGTTTCTGCTCTGTCTGGGGCTCCTGGCCAGCGTCCACCAGGGCAGGGACAGGTCAGCCCTGGGGCCTCTGAGAACAACACCAGTCACAGGGGACTGTGCATAGCCCATTGGGCTTAAGGGTGATCTCTCATCTCTCATTTCTTCTGTCATAATCGGAGCCCAGAGCCCACAGATCCTGGGAAAAGAAGTGACAGTGGAGGTGAGGGGAGACTGCTGTAGACCTGAGATACTGGATTCCACCCTGTCTTCACCTTGAGGGAAGAGGGCCCCCCAATGAGCTCCTTCTAAGAAGGAAGATGCCCTCCTGTGCACCCCTGCTGGTTGGTGGGTAGGGAGGTAGGTAGGCTTAGGTCAGGCATAGAGTTGGTTCTTGGTGTGGGTTATGGACCTGACTTGACGCAGAGCCCTTGTTCTGTATTGGTGTGACCCAGCAGACACAGCCCCCAGTAGCAGGGCCTGCAGCAAGGTACCGAGGACAGGCTAGGACAGGCAGGTGCTGGCCCGGGCCTCGCTAAGGCTGGGTCTTGGGTTTTCCACCACCCTAACCATATTTGACCACTGGCCCTGCTGTCTGCAGATGAGATGGTAGGGAGCCATCCTTTACTGGAGCTTAGCCTAGGCTCCTGAGATGCCCTTCATAAGCCTGCTGGGCATCCATCCCCCACCATGAGCTTGAGTCCTGAAGGAAAGAGAGGGTGGGTGAAGAGGGAGGGAACTGAGAAGACTGAGTACAAGATGGAAGGCTTGCATGGCCCAGCCTGGGGCTGAGGTAGATAAAGAAAACAGGGCAGGTCTTGCCCGGCTTGAGGAGCCTTTGGACCTACAAAGATAAGGGATCCCCTGTAGGGCTAAGCTGGTAGAAAGGGTCCCCCATCCAAGCGATGAGGATTTCATCCTAAGAAGGCTGCCTGGATGAGACATTAGAACCTAGCCCCAAGAGGTGCAGGGAATCTTACCCCCAAAGAAGAGTAACTCTGCGGGAGGTGTGAGACACACCCGGAAGGCCTGAGTCATCATTTCTGACAGGATGGGGAGAGGGCCCAGGGAGGCAAGCAGGTATCAGCAGGGCTGGGGTGGGGGATGGCTTCCCTTCTCAGCTCTGTTGGTCATGGGCTTGGCTCTGCAGTAGAGGCCGGTGACGGTGTTAGGGTGTGTGGGTGGGTGTTCTGCCTAGACTACACCTGGGCGGTGGTTACTGATGCATGGCTGCTGCCCAGAGGCTGGAAGGAGAGGGGAGCCTGGGAGAGACCGAGGCCTGAACCGGACTGAAGATGAGCAGAGAGGGAGGCTTCTGAGCTCTGGAGTACAGAGACGCTTCTTCCTCATGGCCCAGAATATCACCTTTCACCCAGAACACAAATGACCTGTCCCTTGGGAACAGGAAGACAGAAAATGACAGTGGTGTGTGCGGGTGGCTCACTGCAGAAACAAATGCCTTTCGAATGTCCTTGTTGCCCCGTTTCAGGGTGGGGTTCATCGGCCCCAGTGTAGTGCGTTCTGAGTTCTTAGAGAGCAGGTTCTGAGCCTAGGGTCTCACAGCGGGTTGACTACATCCCCTGTGACCACCTGACTCAGGACTTTAAGGCCTCATCGCCCCAACCTTTTGCCTCTCTCCACAGGGAGTCGTGAGGCTGCCTTCACCTACGCCATCACCGCAGCAGGCGTGGCCCATGCCGTCACAGCTGCCTGCAGCCAGGGCAACCTGAGCAACTGTGGCTGTGACCGGGAGAAGCAAGGCTACTACAACCAGGCGGAAGGCTGGAAGTGGGGAGGCTGCTCAGCCGACGTGCGCTACGGCATCGACTTTTCCCGACGCTTCGTAGATGCTCGCGAGATTAAAAAGAACGCCAGGCGCCTCATGAACCTCCACAACAATGAGGCAGGCCGAAAGGTAGCGTGCGGGCATGGTGGGCATAGTGGGCACAGGGGGCATATTACCTGCCTAGGAAAGCGCTTGGACCCAATCCTCTTGGTGTCACTGCCGTACTTCTCTGCAGCCCAGGCAATCTTCCTGCCTGGTGTACAGGCGTGACATCTAGGGTTTGGACGTGTGGGACCCATTTCTATGTAAAGCATGAGAGGGGCCTGGCTAGGGACCTACAGGTGGGCCAAGTCCATATCATAATAGCCAGATCACATCATATTATGATCCAGATCATAGTTAGCCCACTTTGTGGGTCTGGAAGCTAATCAGCCAGCTAACCAAACAAGCAAAAACAAACAAACAACCCCCCCAAAACAAACACACATACACACACACACACACACACACACACACACACACACCACAAACAGAAACAGACAACTGAGGACAGAGGAAGAAGGAAGATCACTGTCTCAAGATGGGCACATCCAGTCAGCTGTGACCTCGTGGAACAGTCAGGTTTGCATATGGGTGGGAATGGAGGACAATCAGGTCAGCACACACTAGGGAAGAAGTCAGAATGAGCCCGGCTGCCACAGGGAGATGAGAGTCGCAGATAATGCGCTACGAGGAGCGGCTGCCACGGCGGCAAGATGGCCCGAGATAGGGCAGCCAGCCGAGCAGAGCACGGACTGAATCTGGTTCCTCAACTCTAGGGGCTGCACCCATGCCTGCAGGGCCTAGGGGCTTCGTGGGCCTGGGATGAACTGGCCTTCCCAGGCAAAGAAAAATGATGAATCTCTCCTCAGGGGACATGGCCAAGACCACTATCTCATTCATTTATTCAGTTAACACTCTGTCCTTTTTCTGTGCTGGGCAGTAGAGAGGATTTCAACTGGCTAGGGAGTCTGGGATTACCTGAGGGTATCAAGGACCTAGGTGTCCCTGGGAAGGCCCAGGAGCTCTTCGGAGGAGGTGGCATAGGAGTGGTGGGGTCTTGAAGGATATTCAGGGGAAAGGCAAGAAGCCTGATCCTGGAGGATGACGGCAAGCAGTTCCAGCCAATGGGAGCCAGATGGGTCGATGAGTCAGGCCCCAGGAAGCAGGAGCTGGCGTAGAACAGAACCAGGGTTGACTTTAATGTGTGGTGTCCCCCAGAGGGGGCTGTTAGATTATGGTCACAAACAGATGAGGAAAGCGTGACCCTGTGGAGGCAGTGCATGCACAGAGAGCCCCTAGCTACAGACAAAGTTTGATTCCTAGCCTATGATTAAAACTGCCCTGCCAGGGATTCTGAAGAGGGGGCCTCTAACATGGAGGGTAGGCAAGGCTGGACCCTCATAGGAGCCCCTCCAGTCTCTTCAGTGGCTTGTTTCTGATTTTTTCTTTCTCTTGGAAGGAAGATTTCACTGTCCCTCATTTGCAGATAAGGAAAGTGAGCCCCAGGGCGAGCTGCTGCAGAGCTGGTCAAGTGGCCCCCCAGGCCTGAGTTCTGGTCTCTGTTCATGGGGACAAGGGTTTCAGGTAAAGGGCCATCTGAAGACCAGCTAGCGTTATCTCCAGTTTAGGGCTGGGACTGATCTGGTAGAGAGGTGCAGGTGTTAAGGCAGAGTGGTCCCTGGAGATACAGGAAGGAGGCTGGTAGTGGGACTGGAAACCAAAATGAAGGGCAAGGGGTGAGTCCTGGCAGCTGTTGGCTGAGGGGATGAGGGCATAGGAACAGGTCACACGCCATACAAGGGGTTTGAAGGGAAACGGTACCACGAACCAAAATGGAGAACGGGCCATTGGAGAGCAGGCTAGGTGGAGGCCATTGGAGAGCAGGCTAGGTGGAGGCTGGTTAGGAACAGGGAGGCCACAGGAAAAGGCTGTCAAGGGTCAGTGGTACCCAGGCATGGCAGCACATTCATTGAAGCTGAGATGGATTGGAGTTTTAGGCTAGGCTGAGATACATAGCAAGACCCTGTCTCAAAAAGAGAGAAAACAGGATGTGGTGGTGTATGTTATTAATCCAAGCACTCAAGAGGCAGGAGAAGGCGGATCTCTGTGACTTTGAAGCCATCCTGGTCTACATAGTGAGTTCCAGGCCAGCTAGGGCTACATAGTAAGACACTGATTTCCACCCCCATCCCCTAAAAGAAATACTGACTAAAGGTCACAGTCCTTATACCGGCTCTGCCCTCGTTGTGTGGGGATTGGCCCTGTCCCTCTTCTGAACCTTAGTCTCCCCTTTGGCACAACAGACGCTAGATACCTTGCCAGATTCCGCTGCTGCACCTCTAGTAGCCTCACCCCCTGAAGCTGTGAGCACATGTTGGCCTGAACCCCTAAATGGCAGCTGGTGGCTGCATGTGAGCCTCTTCTTCCAAGCAGCTTGGTGCTAGCATTAGCTGTGGTGGGGCGGGGGAAGGTTGAGGGCCTGGGGTCATGACTCCAGTGCTGGGTCCTAGGGCATCAGACAGATGGCTCAGGGCACCTCAGACTCACAGTAGAAACAGGACAGACAGATGTGCGCCCACTGTTCTAGAATTGAAGCTGTCATCCGGGTATGACGAGGGCTGTGTTCTCTCCAAAGGCTCTGGGAGGTAGGGTATGGAGGGTGTCCTGTTTGCCTTGACCGATTTCTAGAGGCCTCGGCATGTCTTGGCTCTTGTCTGTTTTGGTCTGGCCTCTGCTGGTGACTGTGTGGCCTCTACTGGAATGTTGTCTCTTCTGTCTCAAATGAGGACACCCCTAAGACTGAGACTTTGTGCGCCACCCTATTCCGGACAGACACGATTCCATTTTACCTTCATCTCGTCCCGGTGAGGTCAGAAGTATGGGCAGCAGCTCCCCTACCATCTCACTCCCCATTCTCCTCAGGCTGCAGGAACTGAGGCAGGGATCCTGGATGGGTTGGGGTGAGATGGCTGAGCTCAGAGTACAGCCTACCATGGCTACCAACCCAGCCCTGCTGCTCGTCCCTAGACACCTCACAGGCTGTGCTGGTCACTAAAGAGAGGTGCCCCCCGGTGTCTGGGCAGAAGGAGACTGTTCCCAAAGAACACTCAAATGTGGGCGAGCCAGGTCAACAGTTTTGTCCCTTTTGGGTTCCCACCATCGTGTGGAACTAGGGCAGTAGGCCGAGAAGGTGGCGTCAGTGATTTCTTACCCCTATTCAGACATGGTGATGGTCAGGGCTGTCCCTGTGGGAGGGTCAGGTGCTAGGCTCAGGACAGAACTGGGGTCCTTCCATTGATACCCACCAGGCTGGAAGCTGATTCTGAGAGCTTGGGGACAGCACCCTACCAGCTGGCCACAGTCCAGGTCCTGACCGAGGGTTTATGACAGGGTTCTGGTTCCTGTCGTATAGATCTGGGAGGGAAACCCACACCAAGCCCAGAGTGTGGCTGCTGCTTAGAGGCCAGCAAGACCCACAGTCATTTCTGGACCCAGAGTCAGAAAGAACGGCAGGCAAAGGCCATGTCCCTACAGTTCCCAGACCCCTGGAGAGGCCAAGCCACCCACGGGCTCAGGAAAGGAAGGGTCTTAAGAACTCCACTGACAGCCTGTCTCCGAGACCTCAGCTGCTCCCTGGCTGAATGAATGTGAGGCACCTTGCCCACCCAGGCCTGCCCCACTGAGATATAGGGATGTTTGACTCCCCTGGGCTATCCAACCTCCTCTTAAAGGACTTCAGCCCCAGCCTGGTGACTCCCCTAGCCTGGTCAAATGGAGCGCTACTCCAAGGCCCTTGATCCTCCATGTCAGCCCTTCACCTGGGTCCCGTTGGCACCACACTCTTGTGTATTGGAGGGAACCAGGCGGCAGAGCGGTCAGCCTCAGGAAGGGGACCCCTTCTGCAACCTCCAGGTGTCTCCTGAGCACCTGGGCTGGTCTCAGTGCCCCAAGCTCCTGGCTGTCCCTGGCGCCACGGCTGCTGTCGCTCTGATGGCGAGGGCTCTGGAGAAGGAAACGGCGCATTCTTGAATCCTGTGATCACCTCCCGGCGAGGCTCCAGCTCAGGGGACCCAGCCAAGCGAGGATTCAGCCCCTCACTCTGCAAACACCTGCCCAATCAACTTCATCTGCCCTTGTCACTAGCAGGGCTGTGCAGGATCTGATGTCCTCAGGCAGGCAGGGGTAGAAAAGAGCAGCGGGCTACAGATCCCAGATGAGGCTCAGGAGCTGCAGCCAGGGCAAGGGTGTCCAGCAGGCTGCAGTGATACTGGTAGCCGACCAGTGGCCTGCACGACCCCAACCAGAACCCCCTCTGATCTCAGCCATTGAAGGAGAGTTGTCAGCCAGGTCCTGGGGGACCTGTTGCTCCTGCCTGGGATTTGGGAGGACCACTCTAACTAACTGGTGGGTAGGTGGCCAGAGCAGGGAACTTACTCGGTTTGCAGACTAGTAGAAGGGAACAGAGCCAGACAAAGCTGAACCAGAGGCGGGAGAGTCACCAGGATGGACGAGGAATGGGGCATGTAAGGAACAGGTCCCAAGTGTGCATGAGGCCACGCTAGCCTGACTCTCAAACCTTTCCAGCCTACCCATTCTACTCAGTCTGGAGCCCACACTGTTCCCCTTCCCCCACATGACACCCGAGGCACCCCTACCTCAGTCTCCCGCTTCCTCCTGACCAGCTTCTCTGGTCCTCACTGCAAGCCATCATTCACTTAGCTAGAGAACAGTCATGGTGATACCCGCCCAGGGTCCATCCAACAACGAGAGGCATAGGAGCCTCATGTTCCCCTGAATTCTCAGCGGCACTCTTGTGTCTTCTGGTGGGCCCTCGTGGAGCTCCTTCCAACTCCCTGCCCGCACCCACCATAAGCATCACCTTCTCCAGGAAGCCTCCACAGCTAACACTAGGTACACTAGGTAACTGCACACACTGGCTTGCTTCCCACAGATATGGTCTGAATGAGAACGGCCCCCATAGGTTCATATGTTTGAATAATTGATCCCCGGTTGGTGGAACTTTTCGGGAAGGATTGGGAGGTGTGGTCTTACTGGAGATGTGTCACTGGGAGCAGGCTTTGAAGTTTCCTGAGACTCTTAGCATCCCCAGTGTTCTGTCTCATGGGATCAAGATGTGAGCCTTTCAAAGTCTTGAGCTCTCTTAGGCCCAGGGAGTCATGAGTCTGTTTCCTCCTGTTTATTATACTGGGCCCTGCGTCTCAGAGGTCCTCTGTGAGGTCCAGGGAAGGTGCTGCTGAGGTGGAGGCAGTGTCTGTGAGATTCTTCCCATCACTCATTGTTTTCATCTGTTCATCTCTCTCTTCATTCACACACTCACTGACTAGGCTTCTTGTCTAGGGCAGAGCTGGGGCTAAGAACAGGTGCCCTTGACAATGAGTTCTACGGGGGTGGGGAAAAGATGAGGGGCCAAATGCCAGCAGGCCCAGACGGTGGCGGTAAGGCAGTGAAGCAGGGACAGCTGACAAATGGCCCCTCCGCTGCCACAGGGCTGCAGCTAACAGTAATTCCCCATCTTTCATCAGGCCGGCTGGCAGGGCCCTTTCGATCTGGGTAAATGAGTACCTGGGGTCAGGGCTGGCTCTGGGAACTGGCCTTCCTGGGCGAGAGGGAGGCCCAAGGAAAACACAGGGTTGCACCCATCCCGGGCCCTCACGCATCTGGGAGAAAGAATAACAACCGGCTAGGCTTGGCTGTCGACTTCCCAGAGGATGGCACGACTGGGCCTCGCTGACCCGTGCCCTCACCCTCCTGGTTTCCTCCATCACTGGCACGCCAGGCTGTCATTAAGCAGCTGGCTGTTAAGCTCTGACTGCATGCCAGGCCCTGCACCGGGCATGAGGCAGTCACAGGGAGATGGAGACACGAAGGGCCGGTGCTTATTAATCACTGCTCTTGCTGGGCCTCTCCCAGCACAGCGTCCCTACCTGCTGCCCTGCAAGTGGCCCCTGTCCCATTTCCTCATTAGGGCTGAATTTAACCAAATAACTCTGATCAGATACACCAGTCTCTGCTGAGAGCACATGGGAACCCATGTTTAGCAGCTTAAGCGAATGAGCTCATAGAGGAGACACTGGGAATTCTGGAGGGCACTCAGCCTCTTCCATTTCCTTCTGAGCCTCTATTCTGTCGCTTATAGGTTCTGGAGGACCGCATGAAGCTTGAATGTAAGTGTCACGGTGTGTCGGGCTCGTGCACCACCAAAACCTGCTGGACCACTCTGCCCAAGTTCCGTGAGGTGGGCCACCTACTCAAGGAGAAATACAACGCAGCCGTGCAGGTGGAGGTGGTGCGCGCCAGCCGCCTGCGCCAGCCCACCTTCCTGCGCATCAAGCAACTGCGCAGCTACCAGAAGCCTATGGAGACGGACCTGGTGTACATCGAGAAGTCGCCCAACTACTGTGAGGAGGACGCGGCCACGGGCAGCGTGGGCACTCAGGGCCGCCTGTGCAACCGCACCTCTCCCGGCGCCGACGGCTGTGACACCATGTGCTGCGGCCGCGGCTACAACACACACCAGTATACCAAGGTGTGGCAGTGCAACTGCAAATTCCACTGGTGTTGCTTTGTCAAGTGCAACACGTGCAGCGAGCGCACTGAGGTCTTCACCTGCAAGTGAGGCCACCGCGCAGGCGCACAAGGCGCCCGCCCATCCCGCGGCCCTCGCCATTTTGCACATCCTTCTTTGCTTCCGGAGCTGCCAGCTGTGGGCACAAGAGGGTAGAATTGGGGGTAGGGTACTGGGGTACTCCAGGCTCCTTCCTACCTGCTTTGTCCCCTCCAGACGCACAACAGTGCCCTGACCTACCCAGCATCCAAGGCCAACGCATCGGTCTGGTACCCAATGGAGACAAATTCCTTTACTTCTCTTCGGGAAACTGGACGTCAAAGTGACCACGAGACTCTGAGGATCACCTCCCTGCCTGGTGGCTGGACAGAGAAAGGCCACACCCACCAGCCACACTCAAAACTGTTTCCTGAGCGGTGTCCTGCTGGCCCCCGGCAGTGTGGATGGATGTTGACAAAATTATTTATGTTTTCTTAGCACCAGTTGAGAACTCAGTACTAACGACCGGGTAGCCAGACCTAACCCTATTGGAGGTTGCCCCACCGGCACCTCCCTTCACTCTCTTCTCCTCGGCCCCTCTCTTGAGGGTTCTCTGCTCCTTGCAGGACCCATGGTGTCAGGGTTGGCACGGAGGCTGGCTGGTAGGGGAACTCCTTGGCAGCACTCTGGGAGGGGCCTAGCGGGTCTACAAAGGCCTGAGATGGCCTCAGGACAGTCCATTCTCCATTCCATTTGGAAACTGTCATGCAAATCAAATATGGCTTGTGTCAGATTCCAGGCATGCCTCTTCCTTTTTTCTAGCCTCTCACACATCCTCCAGTCTGCTGCCAATCTCCACCTCCAGTTTACAAATCCCCCTCTACCCTGGAGCCAGCCTGATCCCCGAGACTGCCCCACAGGAGAGGCCAGGGACGGTTGTCCCGCGTGACAGATGGACGCAGAGCAATCTGAATCTTTTTCTGGAGACCCCATGGCTCTGTGAATTACACCCCAACAGCCCCATCCAGCCCAAACCCTGGAAACAGCCGAGGTGCTGGGAGGCTGCACCCTCTTCCATTCTGACTCCGATGCCAGAGAATCGGCATCCAGAATTTAGGGATGTATCTGCCAGGCCCCCTGCGCACTGTCCACAGACCCCTGCTTGAGGGTCCTCACGTTATGAGGACATGGGGCCCTCAAGCAGGGGTCTGTGGGAAGCTTGATGTCCTCTCTCCTCAGGATCTTTCAGACAGGGACAAAAGAGCTCAGACCTGAGCATCTCCTTCCCTCTCCTCCACAACACATGGCAGAGGTAAGGGATTGCCAGGGCCAATGGCACAACTGCCCACAGCCTTCCCTACACTAAGGTGTTTTCATAGCAGAAATCCACGGGAATGTGGGGTTTGGTGGTCACCAAGCCAGGTGGCCTGGACATTAGCCTGGAGAAAGTGACCCTTGTTTGCCCTTGCCTTGCATCCGGCTGTGGGTCCTATCACGTCAGAATGTTCCAAGCCTCTGGGCCGCTGGAGATACCCCACCCTGATCCTGGTCCCATCTCCTCACCCTAAGTCCTGGGATGCCCTAATCCATAGCCCAGTGTCCCCTGTGAGGAGCCTGGTTAACTTATATTGTTATATAGCGTCCCCCGTCTGTCATGTCTCTTAAGTTATTGTGACCTACACTGGGTACTGGAGGGGATGGGGGATGGCTTTGGCTGCCGTCCCCCAAGCCAGGCTCCTCCTTCTGCTTGAAACAGACCCTCGGGGCCCCTGGTGCCACCGAGGCAATTCGCACTGTCCCTGGACTGCCAGGCACCTGCGCCTGCACTCGGTCAGCCGCAGACCTTGCCTAGGGGAGAGAGGTGGTTAGTGGACCCAGGCAGGGCACTGGCTGTCCCAATGCTGTGTGCTGGGGTGGAGGTGGCCGGGCACCACGTGTCCTTGAAGTGCCCTACTTCTGATGGGCTGTGTTGCTGCCTCCTCTGGAGGGGAGCACTTGGCCCCAATAAAAGCTGGAATCAGAAAAGTGTGTGTGTGGAGTCTCCATGGGGGGATGCCCCCGCAGTTCCTGCCCTGAGGGTGGGGACACACACTGCCCACCAAGGCTGAGCCCCTTAGTCTTTCCCATTTCCTTCACCTCCTCTGCTGACAAGAGGCCTGATTCCTTCCATTCCATACTTGAGGTCTTTGGCCAGGCTCAGCTGGAACCATCGGGCTGGCCTGCCTCTGGCAGCCAGCGAGAATCCCTGGATGTATGCTTGTACACAGGCCTAGAAGCTTCTCTGAAAGGGTTCAGGCTGCAAGGACACAAAGCCTAAGGGTCTGATGTCCAGGAATTAACCACAGGTCTAGGCCCAGTATGCCCTCGACTGGAAGCGCAGGTAGAAGGCCCTTTCTCTACCTCCATTCCCATTGACTTCAGAGTCCTAGGCCTGAGTATCTGGGGTCTCCCCAGCTCTTTGTGGTGAACTTCTAGGGGCCTTGTGTTTTCCTAGGGCCTGAGCCCAGAGTCCCTAGGGGCTTGCAGCCCTAACTGATTGCCTGGCCACAGCCTGTGGTGACCATGCACTGCCTACGGTGAATGGCATTCCTGTCCAGGGTCAGAAGGCATGTGGCGGGGCCGGTTTGGTCACTGCCCGCTGTCCTGGGAAGCCTGGCATCGGGTGGAACTGCTGATCCCACAGCCAGCCATATGCCCTGTGAGGCACCCACAGAGTATGTGTCAGATCCAAGTCTTCTGGAGGAGTCTTCAGCTGTGAGTTTCAAAAGGGAATATGCAGGACCCTGCGTCTGACCCTTGTTCCTTCCTGAGGCACAGCCTCAGTCTCTCCATCAGAGAACAGGAGGTGGTCCAAGGCTGGGGCTTGATGATCTGTAGGCTGAAGCATGCCTGGGGCCCAGGCCAGGGCTGGGCAGGCTGGCAGGAAGCCCTGGGTCCCCATGAGGCAGTCATCAAATACCCGGTGGCGCGGCTGCAACGGAGCGCAGGGTCCGGCTACTCCCACAGGGCCAGGAATGAGGAAGGAGCCCTGAGAATGCCCTGGCCCGGGTGCCCAGACTGTACTTATTTCTTGGCCGTGATTCAATCCCAACCCGGCCTCCCAGGGCCAGGGCACGCATCCTTGGGGGCCCTGCCTGAGGCGTGGAGTCCGTACTGCCTGGTCTGGCCCCTGGCTCTACCTTGAGGCGCTGAGAGAGCATTCACCTGGGCCATCCCAGGTGTCCCCGGTAGCTTTTTTTTGTTGTTGTCATCCTTCAAGTGACACCCCCTTCCCCTCAGTTCTAGTCAACATTGTACCTTGCTGGGTACTGCACGCCCCGGGGCCCTTTCTTCTAACATGCCTAGCACGTCCCTTCCTAGAATGGTCTGCCTTCTGTGCTCCAAGAACACAGGCTGCCAGGCAACAAGAGTCACGTGGACTCCAGATAGGATTTGGGGACACTGGCATTGGGGAGCCTGGAGTCGTAGCAAAAGCCAGCTCACTGCCCCCATTACCCCTGCTCCCTCATGCCTGTAATCTTGCCCTAACCAGGCTGAGTTCTGACCTCATAAGGCTCCAGCCATGTGCCCCATCCCCCACTCAGGTGGTACCCACAGTTCCAAGGACAGTAGGGAGCCTGTGGAAGTGGCCTGTGGAGAGGAGGAGGAGGCAGTTAACAGACCTTTCCTACTTGGATATCAGAAGACAAATGGTCCCTAGTACCAACCCCCGGGCTGGCTCCCTCTTCTTCTGGGGATGCCCTGACCATGTGCGTGATGGTCCAGCTGGCTCAGGGCCACCTGCATGCTTCCTTCTCTCTACCACATTCCATGGGGACATTCTCCTACCATCTCCCGACGCATACCCACACCCTCAGGTCACTCGAGCAAGCTCACCACCTTGTCTTCACTTTTGCCCTATAGGTGGGTAAGGGGGTACCATGCTCCCTATCACAGGCTGATTCCTCACAAGCCAAGGAGCTCTTTGCATCTCGAGCACACCCCTAGGCCAGGCCTTTCTTGGTGGTCTGCTGCTACTACCCACGACTTCACAACCCTCCTTCCCATGCAAGCTCTCATTCACAAATGGATTAACCAAGATCCAGGAATTAGAGGGAAACATCTAGATGAGAGCCAGAGCCAAGATGTAAACCCAGTTCTTCTGGGGTCTTCTTTCTCCCCAACTCATATTCTACCTGGGGGGTATGCCGGCTCAAGGACGTCACCAAAGACCACACAACGGGAAAGGAATGGCTGAGGCAGGTCTTAAGAGGAGAAATACCAGGATTGTCATCCCTAAGAACAAAGCAGGAAAGACCAGGTTAAGAAGCAGCAGGCAAGATCTGGGCTAGATATCTCGGTGAACTGGAGAGAGGTCAAGAGAGAGTAACTATGGACCACCGTCTTTAATGAAGGAAGGAAGGATGGGTGGATGGGTGGAGCTGTGGGCTAACTGGAGTGGCATGGGAACGGAGGGTAAGGGCATGAGAGAGGCGAATGGAAATGGGTCTCGGGATGTTCTGCCAGGAGTGCCAGGAGATCGGGAGTCCCTCCCTGAGCAGAGTGGCAGACCCTGCCTCGGGTCCCTGAGTCACTGCCATAGAACATACAGCTGACACCAGTGGGGCCCTCTGAACTAACACCTCTGTCGCTCTCCTTGGACCACAACTGAGGCTGGCCCTATCTGTCCATCAGGTTCTTGAACTCGAAGGACCCCATCTGTGACTGAGAGCCACTCAAATGTGAAACCCTGGACGGAACTCAAGACCTGGGTCTCAGGGAGCCCTAAGCTCGATGCCACAGCAATGACCAGGGACAGACTGGAGGCAGGTTGTCTGAAGAAGGCACTGATGAAGGGCTAAGCTGGAGACAGTCCTACCCCACCTCCAGACACAAGGAGCCCACGTTAGGGAGGCTGCCTGGTGTCCTCTCTTGTTGGCACATTACCTTTGTGAGCCCCGCTGAAGCCCTGCGTGGCCTTTCAAGGAGGCTACAGGTAGGGGATGGAGAGTTCTCTCACTCCACCTACAGGCAGTGGTTCAGCAGCAGGGCAGCAAGACTGGCTCATCTCCAGGGGCCGGCAGCTGGTCCCTCCTGGGTGAGCAGCCTATTCACTTGAGGCCCGAGGGTGACCTAAGGACCCTGATCTTTTTGGATGAGCCCTGTAAAGGGCCATGGCTGAGCCCGTGGAAGCCTTTGGCATGAGCTGTTTGAGGCCCAGTTCCCAGCTCCGCGCAGAAACTACATATAGTTGGATACTCTGCCGGCACCACCCGCTACCGCAAAGCGGGCTAAGAGCCTTGCCCACGACCCTTCCCTGGCTTCTGGATCCTGAGCTCCAGCTTTTTCTGTGGGGCATGGGACACAGCATCCATGCTGGCTCATTTCTTCATCAGCATGGTGCCTGGAGCTTGGTAGACCACTGTGAGGGCTCAGAGCTGTATTTGAGATGGACATCTTCCCTCAGAGAGTCTCAGCCTGGGGGGGGGGGGGAGGCAGGGTGTTCCTGTGGTTCCTGAGAGTGGGGAACCTCCCACAACAGCAGGGGAGACCAGGGAGCATGGGGCTGTGGAAACTCTGCCATGGCCTCCTGAGACTGACACCAGAAGTAAGGGTGGAAGAAGGGAGGATGGGGGAGGAAAGAAGGGCCACTTAAGGAGCTGAGGTGATTTGAGAGTCGGTGGGGTAGGGGAGTGGAGTTTGGAGAGTTAGAGAGCTACTCTGAGTTGGTGAAGTTCCAGAAAGTTCCATAAGTATAGAAGGGAACCTAGCTTTTTGAGCCCCAAAGGCTAGGATTTGCCAGAAAGGCTCGCCCCATCCCCTGGCAGCTTGCCATTGGATGACCCTCTGGGAAGAGAGCCTGCTTCCCACTGCCCTGTAAGCTCAGGCTGCCCGTGGGCTGACATCATGAGATCTCGAGAATGTGTCTGTGTCCAAGACCAGACTTGGAGGGCGAGGGTCCCGGGGCTGGGATCTTCTGAGGGTTTTAGAGAGTTCCACAGACCTCAAAGATGTTCTACAAGTAGCCTTCATGTTGTTCCTTGGGTCTGTTTCCCTGCCCACGGGGGTCTCTGTTTGCCCTGGGGTATCTCATTAATCCCCAGGACTACGTGGACCTGGTGCAGCACTGATTAGTCTGCTAAGGCTGGTCCTAGCTGCCCCCTTACACTAACAAGGCCACTGTCAAAGGCTGTGGGCTCTTGTCAACCAAGCTGATGGATGGGATAGCACCTGCCAGTCTACTAGTGGCCCTGGCATGTGGAAGGGTGACACTTTTATGTCCTATCCCCAGTTCCCAGACAAGAGACAGCGATTCCATCTCAGTGACAAATACCATGGAGGGGATGGCACCGCAGGGACAGCTGAGTCACTGGGACATATGGGAACAGAACAGGGAGTGGCGCTCCCCCGTATTAAGGTCCCATTCTACTGGGAAGCGTTGTGACATCAGGGCCTGTAGGCATCTCTCATCTTGGGGACTTTGGGATGGACCAGGAGGTCTGTCTAGTCAGGGACCGGCGATGACCTCAGGCCGCAATTCCCAGGTCTGCTGAGCCTGATGGAGTAGACTCCCCATCACTAGAGGGACAAGCATAGTTTTATCTCCATAGAAAGGAGAGTGCTATTCTGATTGTATGGTTCTGAGGTCCTATGAGGCTCCGTGTGCAGGCATAGGACATCAGTAATCTCACTCCTGCTGGGTTGGTGAGAAGCTCTGGGGAGGTCAATCTGACCCAGCCCCTGACCCTGACCCTGACCTTGCCAGGTTGCTCGGTACCAGAAGCTCCTTGCCTCCTTTCCTTTACCCATGATTCCACAGGGAGCCAGAGGAAAACCAGGACAGGATTCTGGAGACCCAGAAGGCACAGGTAGCATGAGGAGGGTCAATCAGTATAGTTCAGCATGGCCAGAAGCCCAGGGGATGGGCAAGTAGATGGATTAAGTAGAACTGGGAAGACTGGGGACAGACTACAAGGCTGGGGCTGAGCACATGCTAGGAGGAGATAAGGACGCAGAGGGTAGATGGCTA